CAGGCTCCCGCAACGATCTTGAAATCCGATCAGAAAAACGGGGGTTCTGGTTTCCATTATTTTATATATTAGGATCTGTGGAGAAATCAGCTGTTTTTTGGAGCCAACGATAGTGGCAAAAAGGAATTCCTGAGTGGGGAATCGAACCCGAGTCTGGCAGCTGAGAGTCACACCCCTTAGCCACTAGACCATGGAGACTGCATTTCATCTGCAGTTTACGCGCCTCAATCGCTTTTTTTTCATCAAACTCAAGAGGGAAGGGGGTACGGTGTCCAGGCTCCCGCAACGATCTTGAAATCCGATCAGAAAAACGGGGGTTCTGGTTTCCATTATTTTATATATTAGGATCTGTGGAGAAATCAGCTGTTTTTTGGAGCCAACGATAGTGGCAAAAAGGAATTCCTGAGTGGGGAATCGAACCCGAGTCTGGCAGCTGAGAGTCACACCCCTTAGCCACTAGACCATGGAGACTGCATTTCATCTGCAGTTTACGCGCCTCAATCGCCTTTTTTTTCATCAAACTCAAGAGGGAAGGGGGTACGGTGTCCAGGCTCCCGCAACGATCTTGAAATCCGATCAGAAAAACGGGGGTTCTGGTTTCCATTATTTTATATATTAGGATCTGTGGAGAAATCAGCTGTTTTTTGGAGCCAACGATAGTGGCAAAAAGGAATTCCTGAGTGGGGAATCGAACCCGAGTCTGGCAACTGAGAGTCACACCCCTTAGCCACTAGACCATGGAGACTGCATTTCATCTGCAGTTTACGCGCCTCAATCGCCTTTTTTTCATCAAACTCAAGAGGGAAGGGGGTACGGTGTCCAGGCTCCCGCAACGATCTTGAAATCCGATCAGAAAAACGGGGGTTCTGGTTTCCATTATTTTATATATTAGGATCTGTGGAGAAATCAGCTGTTTTTTGGAGCCAACGATAGTGGCAAAAACGAATTCCTGAGTGGGGAATCGAACCCGAGTCTAGCAGCTGAGAGTTACACCCCTTAGCCACTAGACCATGGAAACTACGTTGCACCTGCAGTTTACGCGCCTCAATCGCCTTTTTTTTTTCATCAAACTCAAGAGGGAAGGGGGTACGGTGTCCAGGCTCCCGCAACGATCTTGAAATCCGATCAGAAAAACGGGGGATCTGGTTTCCATTATTTTATATATTAGGATCTGTGGAGAAATCAGCTGTTTTTTGGAGCCAACGATAGTGGCAAAAAGGAATTCCTGAGTGGGGAATCGAACCCGAGTCTGGCAGCTGAGAGTCACACCCCTTAGCCACTAGACCATGGAGACTGCATTTCATCTGCAGTTTACGCGCCTCAATCGCCTTTTTTTTCATCAAACTCAAGAGGGAAGGGGGTACGGTGTCAGGCTCCCGCAACGATCTTGAAATCCGATCAGAAAAACGGGGGTTCTGGTTTCCATTATTTTATATATTAGGATCTGTGGAGAAATCAGCTGTTTTTTGGAGCCAACGATAGTGGCAAAAAGGAATTCCTGAGTGGGGAATCGAACCCGAGTCTGGCAGCTGAGAGTCACACCCCTTAGCCACTAGACCATGGAGACTGCATTTCATCTGCAGTTTACGCGCCTCAATCGCCTTTTTTTTCATCAAACTCAAGAGGGAAGGGGGTACGGTGTCCAGGCTCCCGCAACGATCTTGAAATTCGATCAGAAAAACGGGGGTTCTGGTTTCCATTATTTTATATATTAGGATCTGTGGAGAAATCAGCTGTTTTTTGGAGCCAACGATAGTGGCAAAAAGGAATTCCTGAGTGGGGAATCGAACCCGAGTCTAGCAGCTGAGAGTCACACCCCTTAGCCACTAGACCATGGAAACTACATTGCACCTGCAGTTTACGCGCCTCAATCGCCTTTTTTTTCATCAAACTCAAGAGGGAAGGGGGTACGGTGTCCAGGCTCCCGCAACGATCTTGAAATCCGATCAGAAAAACGGGGGATCTGGTTTCCATTATTTTATATATTAGGATCTGTGGAGAAATCAGCTGTTTTTTGGAGCCAACGATAGTGGCAAAAAGGAATTCCTGAGTGGGGAATCGAACCCGAGTCTGGCAGCTGAGAGTCACACCCCTTAGCCACTAGACCATGGAGACTGCATTTCATCTGCAGTTTACGCGCCTCAATCGCGTTTTTTTTCATCAAACTCAAGAGGGAAGGGGGTACGGTGTCCAGGCTTCCGCAACGATCTTGAAATCCGATCAGAAAAACGGGGGTTCTGGTTTCCATTATTTTATATATTAGGATCTGTGGAGAAATCAGCTGTTTTTTGGAGCCAACGATAGTGGCAAAAAGGAATTCCTGAGTGGGGAATCGAACCCGAGTCTGGCAGCTGAGAGTCACACCCCTTAGCCACTAGACCATGGAGACTGCATTTCATCTGCAGTTTACGCGCCTCAATCGCGTTTTTTTTCATCAAACTCAAGAGGGAAGGGGGTACGGTGTCCAGGCTTCCGCAACGATCTTGAAATCCGATCAGAAAAACGGGGGTTCTGGTTTCCATTATTTTATATATTAGGATCTGTGGAGAAATCAGCTGTTTTTTGGAGCCAACGATAGTGGCAAAAAGGAATTCCTGAGTGGGGAATCGAACCCGAGTCTGGCAGCTGAGAGTCACACCCCTTAGCCACTAGACCATGGAGACTGCATTTCATCTGCAGTTTACGCGCCTCAATCGCCTTTTTTTTCATCAAACTCAAGAGGGAAGGGGGTACGGTGTCCAGGCTCCCGCAACGATCTTGAAATCCGATCAGAAAAACGGGGGTTCTGGTTTCCATTATTTTATATATTAGGATCTGTGGAGAAATCAGCTGTTTTTTGGAGCCAACGATAGTGGCAAAAAGGAATTCCTGAGTGGGGAATCGAACCCGAGTCTAGCAGCTGAGAGTCACACCCCTTAGCCACTAGACCATGGAAACTACATTGCACCTGCAGTTTACGCGCCTCAATCGCCTTTTTTTTCATCAAACTCAAGAGGGAAGGGGGTACGGTGTCCAGGCTCCCGCAACGATCTTGAAATCCGATCAGAAAAACGGGGGTTCTGGTTTCCATTATTTTATATATTAGGATCTGTGGAGAAATCAGCTGTTTTTTGGAGCCAACGATCGTGGCAAAAAGGAATTCCTGAGTGGGGAATCGAACCCGAGTCCGGCAGCTGAGAGTCACACCCCTTAGCCACTAGACCATGGAGACTGCATTTCATCTGCAGTTTACGCGCCTCAATCGCCTTTTTTTTCATCAAACTCAAGAGGGAAGGGGGTACGGTGTCCAGGCTCCCGCAACGATCTTGAAATCCGATCAGAAAAACGGGGGTTCTGGTTTCTATTATTTTATATATTAGGATCTGTGGAGAAATCAGCTGTTTTTTGGAGCCAACGATCGTGGCAAAAAGGAATTCCTGAGTGGGGAATCGAACCCGAGTCCGGCAGCTGAGAGTCACACCCCTTAGCCACTAGACCATGGAGACTGCATTTCATCTGCAGTTTACGCGCCTCAATCGCCTTTTTTTTCATCAAACTCAAGAGGGAAGGGGGTACGGTGTCCAGGCTCCCGCAACGATCTTGAAATCCGATCAGAAAAACGGGGGTTCTGGTTTCCATTATTTTATATATTAGGATCTGTGGAGAAATCAGCTGTTTTTTGGAGCCAACGATAGTGGCAAAAAGGAATTCCTGAGTGGGGAATCGAACCCGAGTCTGGCAGCTGAGAGTCACACCCCTTAGCCACTAGACCATGGAGACTGCATTTCATCTGCAGTTTACGCGCCTCAATCGCTTTTTTTTCATCAAACTCAAGAGGGAAGGGGGTACGGTGTCCAGGCTCCCGCAACGATCTTGAAATCCGATCAGAAAAACGGGGGTTCTGGTTTCCATTATTTTATATATTAGGATCTGTGGAGAAATCAGCTGTTTTTTGGAGCCAACGATAGTGGCAAAAAGGAATTCCTGAGTGGGGAATCGAACCCGAGTCTGGCAGCTGAGAGTCACACCCCTTAGCCACTAGACCATGGAGACTGCATTTCATCTGCAGTTTACGCGCCTCAATCGCCTTTTTTTTCATCAAACTCAAGAGGGAAGGGGGTACGGTGTCCAGGCTCCCGCAACGATCTTGAAATCCGATCAGAAAAACGGGGGTTCTGGTTTCCATTATTTTATATATTAGGATCTGTGGAGAAATCAGCTGTTTTTTGGAGCCAACGATAGTGGCAAAAAGGAATTCCTGAGTGGGGAATCGAACCCGAGTCTGGCAGCCGAGAGTCACACCCCTTAGCCACTAGACCATGGAGACTGCATTTCATCTGCAGTTTACGCGCCTCAATCGCCTTTTTTTCATCAAACTCAAGAGGGAAGGGGGTACGGTGTCCAGGCTCCCGCAACGATCTTGAAATCCGATCAGAAAAACGGGGGTTCTGGTTTCCATTATTTTATATATTAGGATCTGTGGAGAAATCAGCTGTTTTTTGGAGCCAACGATAGTGGCAAAAAGGAATTCCTGAGTGGGGAATCGAACCCGAGTCTGGCAGCTGAGAGTCACACCCCTTAGCCACTAGACCATGGAGACTGCATTTCATCTGCAGTTTACGCGCCTCAATCGCCTTTTTTTTCATCAAACTCAAGAGGGAAGGGGGTACGGTGTCCAGGCTCCCGCAACGATCTTGAAATCCGATCAGAAAAACGGGGGTTCTGGTTTCCATTATTTTATATATTAGGATGTTTTTGCTCTGATAGGAACTTCATGAGTCAGTGCTTTTTCACAACCCCACTTTCCCTTCTTTCCATGATTTATCGCAATTTGTAAGACCATAGACTCAAGAATGCCGCGCAAACATTGCGTAAGGGCTCGAACTCGTTTTTCTAAGTAGGCAGAGTGTTATGACATTTGAAATGTGTTGGTAAACACTTCTTCCTGCTTGTTGATGCATATGCGCACGCGCAATGTTTTTCAGTTCAGGGATGAGGTAGCCATTTTGTTGATACTCAAGGCGTCTTCCATCTTCATTGCAATTGTAATGGAAGATAGGGGTTAGCCTTCATTCCCTTCTTGTACGTTGTGTTTAGTTTCGTGCATAACTGCACTTCTCGATGGAGCTTCAAATCTTGAAAGCGGCCTTTTGTCCACACCCGCATTTCAAATAGGTATTCTTTTTGTTCCAAGTCTCCAGCACTTTTCAACAAAGTGCTCGATCGTGTTGGGGTTTTCAACTAACCTTTTTCTATACAAGATTCTCATAATCTTATCGGTAGCGAAACTTCCTAACAAATAAGGTCAATGATTGATATTCTAACGAAAGAAAGGTTGATAAGATACGACAAGGATGCGCCTGATTTTCTTTTGCTCTGCAGATCTTCTGGAAATCGGTTCCATATTCTTCTTATGAAAACTATAATATGCCAAGGTATCCCTTTTCCGTCAGAGCACGAGTTCGTAAAAAAGATGAAAGATACCGTTTAAAATGTCTTCTTCAGGAATTCAACCACCAAAAGTTTGATTTAATTACTTAAACTCACTGTTTCTTGGATGATACTGCTCTGAGACCGGCCCGTTTATCTTTGACAAATAGATTTTCTTAAGCTCCCTGGTTCTTTCTGGTCCCTTTTTCTTTTTCAACTGAAACGTCAGATTTACTTCACGCTCTGTTTTCTGTCTACTCTACGGCTTACTTGTTGTTATTCACTCACACTACCGCAGATCTCATTAGACTGTAATTTATTCATATCAAACGATAGCCCGATAAGGGTGTGTTCTCACCGTTGTTATGGGAACGATTGCAACGGCATTGCAGGTGCATGGCACAGCCTCCCTATCGGTACGAACCATCTATGTATTAGTCGAGAATTAACGCTCGTCAGTTATGTTCCACAATACATTTCAAAGTGGTCTTTTGTCTGTCCTCTACAGTGTTGGCAGTAATCCACTTCAGCTGTGGGAAAAACAGGTGAGCATCAGCACTAGTTCCTCGATCATGCTGGTTTTTTTTTCATATGAACTATCTTTTTTTTTCTTGTTTGATTTCAAATAAGTTTTGGCATGTTATTACAATGATTCAGTTCTTTTGCTCACAACTTTTTTCTAAACCATAGCCTGGGTGATTTAGGTAGTATCGCAAGCACTGCATAGATTGCATTGTTTTTGAGTCGTGGTTGTGATAATGAAAAATTCTGTTTACGATTCCGTTGTCTGTCACTGTATGCGGTATCCAAGCAGCGTGTCTGCCTTACGGCTTATGAATTTTCTTGTCAAAGTGCAAGCAGCCGCATGTTTCCAGAGTCCCGGAAGCATGCACTATAAATCTGCTGCTGCAACACCTAGTGTCCCACCCTCTGCTACCTTGCATAAATCGAGATTTATTCCTGGAAATCAGCACTAGATGCTGGACTGACATGACATCAGAAATTCGATGACAAGTTTAAGTCTTCGTTTGTACAATATAATAATGATGTTTGTGGATAATGTAATTATGATAGTGTTAAAGACAGCGTCCAGGCAGACCTAAACCTATGTGGATTTAACGTGCAAAGTAATTTTGGGGCCCTAACCTGCAGCGCAGGTGACTCACTAACGACTGAGATATACGCCTCCAAACTGGACCTCAGGATCGTATTCGCATGGATTCATAACGGTTTCGCGCGAGAACCCACGCGTTGCGCCATGAATCCATGCGACATACGGTCCTGGGCTCCAATTTCGAGGGGAATATCTTAGCAGTCAGAGCACTACCTGAGCTGCCGGTTGGGCAGTGGCTTAGTTAGGGCCCCAATATTACTATTTACGTGAGATCCCCATGTGTGCAGAATTGCCTGGACGCTGCCTTTAAAGGCAGCGTCCGGGCAAAATTGACCTACCTCAGATGCTGTCACATTTCGACAGGGTCCCCCTCAACTAAGACAAAACAGCAAGTCCGCCCCGAGAATGTGAATTCTGAAAGTCAGGTGGGCGGGTCAAGTGCCGCTCCCCTTCCTCCTTCCGCTCCCCTTACGCCTACGAAGACGAGCTTACATGTTTGACGCGCCCCTTTGACGTGTCGTTACACGCAGTGTTTCTACCTTTGACACATGTTTTCACGTGTCACTACACCAGATAAATTTCGGAACACTCGTCCGCGATTATTGAAATAGGGTTCCAGAAACGGGGGTTTTGGAGATTTCAAGCAATTCTCGGTTCGGATTTAGATTCAGGGGCGTCGAAAAAGCAAGAAACGCTAGAAACATGGAAGTCGAGGTTTTGCCCGGACACTGCCTTTAAGACGGTAAGCAAGTAACGCACCTTTTATTTTTCGCGAAGGTCATATTTTTTACTTGTTTACATCACTTAATAGTCGCAGAAAACTATATACTCAATGAGGCGCTCACAAGGTGAGATTCTAAAGTAGATAACAGAGTCCTCCAAGCGAAACAGATCCAGTCGTGGTAATATTACATTTAACTACCTTTTCGTGAGTTTTTGGTTACACACACAGAGAAGATAAGACTCGGTAGATTTTTGTGACTTCAAAGACATGATCTGCTACTAAATAGACGCAAAGGAACGTGTAGGGGGCATTGATTTGAATTTAAGCATCACGTAAATAATATACTATTTGAGAATAGTTTTATATGATGTGCAATGACTTGAAAAATTGTAAATTTCTGCAGGTGAAAAATGGGCATATAAAACGAGTCACAGATGATGAGATTCAATCACTTATCATTGAGATCATTGGAGCCAACGTAAGGTGGGTAGATTTGTATTTTAATGGCAGCACAAATGACTAGTGTTAAGTACATCGTACATTTCCTGCCCACATGATCCGAAGAAAACGCTAGGAATAAAGCTGCCGTACTTTGTTATGGTTGTCAAGAATATGAAGAAATATTTCACTTTTGAAGTGCAGGTACGTTTTCGAAATGTGTTTGGTGAAAATCGACTTAGCGATTTCAGATCCTAGACGACAAAGGCGTAAAACGCCGTTTCCGGGCTTCAAACTACCAATCTAGCACACGTGTAAAGCCATTCATCTGCACTATGCCCATGCGATTAGACGAGGGTTGGAACCAAATTCAGTTCAACCTCGCCGATTTCACAAAACGCGCTTATGGTACCAATTATGTGGAAACGTTGAGAATTCAAGTGCACGCCAATTGCCGTCTTCGACGGATTTACTTCGCCGACCGCTTATACACAGAGGATGAACTGCCAGCAGAGTTCAAACTATACCTCCCTATAAGAGGACGCTCATCTGTGCCAATGAGTGTAAGCGCTTGAGATGGCAGACTATTTATCAGTTACGATCTCGCTCTGTGATTTTATCCTGTCGGTTTTGACTAATGTTTGGTTATTCTGCTGAAATAAACACTAATAAAAGCTCTTTATTTGGCAATGTTCTCTTGCAAACGTCCAATTTTTAGTCAGTACGCGAAGTAATCATACAAATACACATACTATGATATCGTCTTGATAGCTGTTGAATTGTAATGCGCTCCTAATTTATAAGCATGCCGGTGGTAGACGATAATCAATGGCTTCGTATTTTTGTAGTTTTCGCCAAAAATTACCGGAGGACCAACAGGTTGAAGTAACTGGATGATTACATGATTATAAATTTACTAGCTAAGAAGTATACCGTACTTTACCTCTATACTCCTCTCCAAACTTCGACTAAGGGCATTCAACTCGGGTTCGCCTCCCCAAACACCACCATCTTTGCTTTCATTTTCCACTCCAGCGCAGTATTTCTCGAACTCGAACTCGTCTAGAGGTTCATCACTTTCCTACGAAAGGAGGATTGTATTAGTGAAAGAAATCCTTTCGATGACTCACATTAGTCAAGAATGGCACGAAATCTTCTTTGTTCTCTCGCATGTATTTTGCAGCTCGCCTTCGCATATCTTTACCAGTTACCTGGAAAATTTCTGGCTTCCATTTCTAGATAACACTCTACGTAAGTATATGAATGTCAAAAAACTACGGACTCTTTCCAAAATCGACTATATGAAGAAAACTGAATATAACGGACAGATACGGACAAAAGCAAATCATCAATGCAGCAAGTACGGACCTGCTCATACCCTTTCACCCGAGAAAGCTGATTGGCTACCGCGTTGTAAAGACAGTCGCCATCTGGAGCAATGTCCACTAAGCTAAGCCCGCGTTCGTCCAAGATCTAAAAAGGATTGTCTATAAACAGCTAGGTATGGAAGCATAGATCGAAATCGAGAACTCAATAGGGGCTATTCGGCTATTGTATTTACCGCGATACTCATCAAAAAAGCAAATTTTTGCACATACTTCGAAAGAACACTGTTTGACATGCTAATACTACGTAGTCAGTCATACATCTTACAGTCGAGTAGATTTTCTGCTTAATATAGTGTGCTTGCACAGAAGGTGAAATGCGGTAAAATTTGCTCGTGAGGAAATAGCTTCGACTGTGACGCCGGCCAATTGCGCGCGCAAAATGCCGGCAGTGCTGGCGCAGCTACCTGTTCACGCGCAAATTTTACCGCATTTCATAAACTGTGCAAGCACACTATATTAAGCAGAAAATCTACTCGACTGTACATTGATGAAAATGATACAATTGCACACCACTGCTTTTTGAGAGTTGAAAGTTAGCTACCTTATAATCAACACTGATTGCAGTGGTATCAATGATGTGTAGAGCATCTTTAAACCGAAACAGATTGGTCAAAAGAGCATTTCACGCAGTTAAAGTTGGTCATACTTCAGAACTCTTATTAAGATAGAAGACTTACTTTTTGTATTGCCGTCATTTCTGTAACCCGCAATGAATTAGCAGCATTCTCACGGTCTTTTTCTACAGCTTCTTGCATACGACGAAGTGCCTCCTCCTTCTTTGCCTATAAACTTGTATTTTGGAAAAATTTTTGATATTGCCTCGTTTTACCTGCTTCTTCTTGTTTCTCGAAGACACTTGAACTTCCTTGTAGAAAGCTTGATCTATCTCGTCAACCTCATCCTTAGCTTCTTTAGAAGAATTTTTCTCTTCAGCGGTCGCCGCGGGTAGAGACAGCTAGAAAAAGTGAAAGTCAACTTCTATAAAATCAGCTGAGCCCATTGAACACCCATTGAATGTAAAACTAAATACAGAATCTGCAAACGGTACACATTATACACAAACCAGAGAAGCTCCCTAAAACAAGCAGCAACAACCTTCAGAAACTTGAACGAAGAAAGACTAATTTCATACAATTTGCAAGTAACCCTTTGACCTTGAAAAAGGCTGTTCTTGAGAAGACCAATATACTTCAATTGCAGTTTGTGCAGAATTGCAGGAACATATAAGAACTGCCGCTGATGTGCAGCAGGCCAAACCCCAAGCCCTATCTTCTTGTAATTTTTGGAGGAAAATCTCTAAAAAACTCATACTTTTCATGGCACTTGCTTTCAAGATTTTGGGGCGATTACTTGCAAGATTGCGATATAACATAACTTTGAGACAAACGAAAATGAATCGTCAAATAAAAGGATATGTTCGACTGACTTCAAAAAGCACTGCCTAACCTTCAAGTTGCTGATTTCTCTCTCGTGTCGTGCAGCCATCTCGCTTTCTAATCGTTCAATTTCAGCATTTGTTTCCTTTTGTTTCTGTTTGTTTCCAGACTTTGCAATCTTTTTCATCGAAAGCGCCTTTTCTGGATACAGTTAAATAAGATGAAATGAAGAAAATAAAGCAAGCAGCAGACCTTTTAAAGCTTTTTTTTCCTTTCTGTGCTGAGCCAGCAGTTCCTCCATCGGGTCCACTTCGTCTTCCACGTCCTCAGCTCCATAATTTGTGTACATATTCTGAATTAGGTTATTCAAATGTTGTGTCAACAAGATTTGCAAACAACTTGTATTGTGCCGTAGAAGATCTAAAATCTTAAGATGAAGGTTGACGTCAAAAATGGTTTACGGAGATTTTTACTGTTATCCTTGTGCGATATCTCCTTTTCAACGTGAAGATAGAGAAAAATTAACAAGCACATCAAAAGTGATTGCGGCGAGGACGACGTAGCAAGTGCGCCTGCGTATCGTGCCACCAAATACACGGCTCAGCCGTGGAGCATCACTCAACGGGGCCCGGTACCGATGGTTTGGGGTCAAACTGGACTTCGTTTTTGGAGTTAGAAGCAACGGGGACATGAGCCAAAAAAACAAGACGAACATGTCAGGTTTCACGAGTAACGTGTTCTTTCGCAAGCGCGCGAATTTCAAATGCAAGACTCAAACAAACAAATGGTTAAAAATGGTCAAATGGTTATGGTCAAATGTTTACAGCGCACAAACAATTACATGGCTCCGAATTTGGGCTATATGTATACAATATTACTCCAAACCATGTTATGTAAAAAGTTCCCAAAACTTATGTGTCCTAATATCCGTTCTCGGATTTGTTGGTTTCTAGACCAACTACCAAACCAACTGGGTTGGTTCGGAGCATAAATATCGGAGAGTTCACATAAGTTTTGGACCTTTTTGATTTGGACGATTAGAACGGTCAAAAATCTATCATATAGTGAAGAGAGAGGATCAAACCGTTGCCTCTCCCCTTTTTTGAGTCAAAAGTAGTGAGTTCTACGCGTTGATAGTTATCGCGCTCCTGTCCAGACGCAGACTAATTAGATGGTCCGACAGTCCCCACGCCAACTGCTCTGACATTCGTTTCGGACGAACGGCGCGCGAAAAAAACGATTCCTACGACCCGCGCCTGTCGAGCGTATGAGCGGCGCGACACAGTCGGATTTGAGTACGAGCGGCGCGCAATTCGAAGTGTATCAGTACGAGCGGCGCGCAACTGACAAGCAGGACCGGCCGCGTGCCTTCAAACGTACGAGCGGCGTACCATAATATCCAAATTTCAGGACCAGCGGCGTTTCACAGCGTTCTTTTATTCAAAAAAAAAATCTTCGCGCCATTCGGATGCCATAGAAATTCGAGAAGGACGTCATTCATGGACATTCTTTTCAAAGATTGTTTCTAACTTGTTTTGGTAGTACCTTTTCAATTCAAGTTTTTATTTATCACAAAGTCCATTATGTTTTCCTTGTGGCACCGAAGAAATTCTGTAGGCGCCCACTTTGACGCCCAGTTTTCTACGTTTTCGTTGCAGTTATCACTACATGCTCACATCGCTTTGAGCCTTTTGAAGTGTTATTCGTTTATTATTCGTAATTTGCCTATCTGCTCAAGCAGTACCGGCCGCGTGCCTTCGAACGTACAGGCCGCGTACCACTAATTTAAGCTTCTGCAGCTTTTCAGGCAGTTCCACGTGTTCACGGCTACCATAGTCAAAGAAGGACGTTTAAATTTGTGCGCGATCATTATTTATGCATTCGGTTATAATTTTTTACAATTTTAAGTGCATAAAAACCTTAGCGTGATTTTCACACGTTATAAGCCTAAAGAGTACTTGCGTAAGGTACGACGCAGTGGTTAGGCTGCCCTCCATGCTAATTGCCTTGACTATGTTTTCAATACGTACACAAGAACAATCGGAAGGTGGTCCTGTAGACAACTTTTGATAGCACCTTTGTGTTGCTCAATTTTGTAGCCGGAAGTGATTTCCGAAACTGCCATATCGGTGGCGTTAACATAAAATTTTCATATCAGCGATAGAAGCACGAAATTACCGTACCAGCGGCGCCGATGTGACAGCGTACCAGCGGCGCGAAATTCGCGCATCACCCGAGCGCATTTAGCGGGCGAACGGCCATTGAGGAGTCCGCTCGTACGCAAATTTCGCGCGGCTCGTCCGAAACAAATGTCAGAGTGGGCGGTGCCCCAGCAACTCCAGATGAGCTGCCTAACCGGGTGACCGGCGGTTTCCCTTCCCCTCTCATTCTACTTATAAATATATAATAAAGATTCTAGTCATAATGTCATGTTCATATAAAGTAAGACAATCAGGGTGAAGGATTCAAGTCAAGAGAGTGCACCTCTTGGACTTGACATGGAGGTCCCGGGTTGTTTTCTTTTTATGACTCACATTTTTTAATCAATTTTTCGAGAATTTTTTTTTCTGAATCAACAATTTTTGAATTTAATCAGCATAGATTTTGGCCAAATCTTTTGCAAACTCCCACCGCCGGCACCAGCCCTCATCTCCTACGTTTCTACGTAGTTTTTTCTTCTTTTTTATTCATTTTTTCTCATTTTCTGCTTATTTTTTGAGTCAGGCGATGAGTCTGAGTTTTGTATTTCTTGCTATTCTTAGCATAAAATAATATTTTCTATTTTATTTTCTACCTAACGATATTTTATCTCTTTTTTCTCTTCCTTAATTCCGCGACCCGCGAGCCGTGATTTCCTAGAGCCGTGATATCCCGGAGTCGTGATTCCCCGAGCCGTGAATAGCGAACCGTGAATTTTCGACGCTCTCTCTCTAGATCGATTTAGCTCTCTAGATTGAGATTCCGCGAGCCGTGACATTTTTGGCGTATCTTTTCTCAACTTAAATTAGGGGATGAACTTTTTTAGACACGTAATGAATAATTCGGTGTGTAGACGGTGCCGCTTCTTGCACTATGATCTGTGGTGCAAGAAGCGGCGCCGTGAGATATGAAAGTTCCAAGCATAAATCGTTCACGTCAGCATGACTATACATTCCTGCTATTATGTTGTCATCATGTTAATATGGGTAGCTGTGAGCTATTGAAGGGTACGTGAGATTTGATTTGCGTTAGCTCAAAAACAGAGCTCTTTTTTCAAAATATTTGCTGAATTCTTTTTAAGAAAAATTGTAGCTTTCTTATGAGTCTGAAAAAACATAGAGAAATGTGTATGACGCGATACATTGCAGTTCATCAGGGAAAACAATTTAAAAAGATAGCATGGAAAATGTAGCGCAAGATGTCATGAGATATGAAGGAAGTGATTAAGCAGTTCTTGTTTCATATGATTTGGAGATATTTGAAAGACTCAGAAGAAAGAACATAAACAAACCCGTATGGATAGATGCAAAAACAGGAAAGCGTAAACATTGCAATCATATGGAAAAAGGCAAGAATTATTTTGAGAGAACTGTCCAAGAATAACGTTTACGGGGGGTGGCGAGCATGAATTAAGCGCATCATCTTTTAGTTGAGAACCGCTCTCATAACTACATTCTTGACTCTTTCCTCCTTTTTGTAGACTTTTACTGCCTCCTTCCGTCGTCCTCTGGTTAATGCGACATAGAGCTGACCATGAGAGAACACATCTGTTCCGAGGGATATGCCTACATGAGCCAAACTTTGTCCTTGAGCTTTATTAATCGTCATTGCAAACGATAAGCGGACGGGAAACTGCCTTCTTCGTAATCGGAAAGGGATTCCTGTGTCAGTGTAGTTATCTATGCGAGGAATAGGTACAAAATTTCCTTTTCGATCTCCACACGCAAATCGACATCCTAAAAGAAAACGGCCACAATGCGTGACAATTAGCCTCGTCCCATTACATAAGCCATTTCTGACATCGAGGTTCCTCAACAGCATAACTATCGAGCCCTCCTTTAGTCGTAGTTTATGAGGAGGCATTCCAGTTGGTGTCATGCTATTCAGAAATTCCGTGGTGTAATCATCCATTTGCGGATCGTCACTAATAACATCATCTGCACTCTTGTATTCGTGAACTTCGCCATGAATCTTATTCAAAACGTCCTCGTTGATCTGCGACACATCAAAATTCCGCGGAGCCAGTATTGCTCGATCACTCAAAGCATCGCAATCAGTCCCAGGGTCGCCAAACACCTCATCTATAAGATCTCCTTTAGAAACTATCTCATCTGGTAGCTGTATCCGTCCCATAGCGTCTTCTTCAGCTTCTCCGTTTCCAACGCTCATCAGGAAATCACACCAAGAAGTGCCAGATTCTGCGGCTCTCATGTTGATCAACAGCTGGTGCATCCGAAACAAATTCCAAAGAGGGCTGTTCTTCACGCAAGCATCAACCATATCCCATTCGCTTCCTCGTTCTATGATTGGTAATACCTGCCGGAAATCGCCGCCTAACACGACTACTTTACCTCCGAAGGGCTTGTCATTGCACATCAGATCTTGTAGAAGAAGATTCACTGCTTTAAGTGAACATTTCGGAACCATGCTGACCTCGTCCCAAATAATGAGATCACTCTTCTTAATAGCAATGGCCTCTTTAGCCTCACGTCGCAATAAGCACTCTCGATTTCCAGCTTTCATATTCAACTTAAATGTGGAGCTAGCCGTCCTACCTTCAGGCAGCAGGTTTGCGGCCACACCTGTCCACGCTACACAGATGACAGATTTGTGACATCCCTTCAGTATATGGTATAGAGCGTTGTAAAGATAAGTTTTCCCGCTACCTCCGGGCCCGTCAACAAAGTGCAGCTTAGCTCGACCGGCTTGGAAAGAGGCTAAGATATCATCAGCCGTTGATTTTTGCATTTCATTGAGACACTGGTACATCTCTTCACCTTTTTGCTCATGGAATGCATAATCAGTCTGATCCGGCAGGATGGGTCGACTCTGAGCTGGTGGAGTAATTGTTTTAGAGAGGTCGTAGCCAAAAATCTCTAACCTATCATATAGATCGAAGTAAGTGAGTGCTTCAGCATCAGATGGCGTAGATCCTCTATGGATGAAATCCTCAACCATATCGTTCTTGAAGCGATCATAAAGACTTCTTGGATTGGATATGTCGCAGAATGCCAATAAGTATGTGAATAAGGCCCTGAGTTCCTTAGGCATTTGAAAGTGAACAGCTTCTTCCAAGCACTCACTGTAATGAGAGTCGTCATGCAGTAGACCTATAGCACGCACTGCTTCCAGAAATGTGGGATGCAGATGATTGTCTACAGTGCGAAGATCCTCGAATGAACGCATGTTTTTCCTATGAAGGAGTAGGACGCGCAAGCTGAATCTTTCCGGATCCTTAGGTGAAGCAACATGCATACGACCAATCTGACGATTACCCCTTCGCCTCCGTTGCCATTTTCGTTCCTTCGAAAAGGTAAAATGTTCGGGGATTTGATAATAATAGAGATTTCGAGGATCCACCACCTCCATCGTCTCGGCATTGTTGTCTTCCATAAGCTCATAATCGTTGTTCAATTTGAACCACGCTGTCAACATCGTATCTTTGGCTGCCCCGCGTTCTGCTGCCTCGCGTTCCTCACCTGATTGGAATGTGATGGTTTGATGGTCGGGTAGATGAACAGCCAGACGATATACAGTGTCTGATTTGAATTGCCGTTCGTACACGAAGATGTGATGTAATGCTTCTGGTGAGCATACATATCGAGCATCCAGATGAGCCCGAATTTCATCAGTGCATTGTGTAGAATCTTTTTCTATCAGGCGTAGAGAAGCGCGATCCGGCCCCTTGTAAACGTACTTATATAAGTACTTCACGGCTTGTACATAGCCACAGATCTCTAAGTTCACATGGGCCTTAAGAAGCTGCAATAGATATGGATTGTACGGCACGACGTATCTGTTGTCATAAGTGTCGTTCCCGGATGTTATGGTGCAGCCATCATTTGGTCTTCTATACTTGGGATAACCATTAACGTCAATATCAGTTATCTCTCGGTATTCTTTTGGGTATTGCTTTGAACACTTTCCGTTCATCATACATGGTGCAGTTGGATTGATCGCACCACAACTACGGTGAATCATGTTCCTTGCGACTATGCTAAAAAGGCGGGGATTTTGGGAGGCGCATGGAAGATGTGCTTTAACAGCCGCATCAACATTCTCAGGACTCTTCGGTTTTGCATCGGCAGCCATAATTAGAAGCATATGGCAGTGAGGAAGGCCTCGTTTCTGCCATTCCACAACTCCTACATAGGCAGCAACAGTGCCCAAAATTCTTTTCTCAAACAGGTGATTCTTCAGTATCTCCAACTTCCTGTTGAACACACGCGTCACTACATCGGGTCGATCTGAAGAGGACTGGCCAGGGTGCAGGTTCTCTTTTATCTCTCTCCATTGTGGATTACAGGTGAAGGTAAGGAAGTAGTCAGGTTTTCCATACCTTGCAACGATGGACATCGCGTCCTGGTAGGACTGGTGCATTGCTCTAGGGCTGCCAGGGAATGAAGATGGTAAAATCACGCGCCGTCCCGGAGGTCCATCTACATCATCGCATGCCAAGTGATCCATGAGTCCTCTATAGCTGTCCACTCGAAGCTCCTTTTGGTGCGTACGCGCATAATTCAGCCGATTTTGTTCAATCTTGACGTATGCATCAACTGCAAACTGCTGCATGAGTTTGCCGGCGTGATGCAACGGATTGAAAGATGGGCGTACCGCGAATAGATAGGAGTAGTACTCGCGTTGCGTTATTCTAGAGCGAGCACGGCAACTTGGACTCTTTTTTAGACCTACATGCCAACCCATTCCTCCTTTCGGAAACAGTAATGGGTAGGTCAGTGGGTCACACCGACCGTCAATGTCAGGAATATTGAGCAGTCGACCTCCTCTATAATGAATCGCTAGAGCGCGATTCGCTGGAACATCGCCATCTTCACCAACGTAGACAACAGCGATCTCGTTGGAAACTGGAACATTATATCGACGACGATCCAGGTTGTGGGATTCGTCGAAGATTAATCGGACTGCCGGTGCCTGCCTACCTTCGTTACGAGCCCGTCGTTCTTCATCTGCAGCCACATCACCCATCATTCTGAGTGAAGCTGCGTAGCTATTATTAGCGTGCAACCATGCAGTCAATTGATGCATCACAGTAGCATCGCATTTTGAGTTTGCAGGGTTCCCACTTCGTTCATTAGCTGCAGCGTCCGTATCGAGTATGTACACCTGTCCAAACTGAGGACGGATTCCTTGTTCAGGTTTTAAAGGGCCAACGTAGTGATATACTTGGCCATGAATCCTATAACAATATGGACCGGCACCGCGCGGAATGTCCATTTGTGCGCCCATTGAAGCCATGGCAAGAGCGCTATTGTAGGATCGGATTTGGTCACGGAAATTCTTGCAAAGACTCGATGATCCAGTGTAAAAAGAGCGGATAAGTTCCGGAAAATCCGAAAATAGATCTATCGAGATGTTGCCAAAATTGCAGCAAATGTTGGATAAGTCCCAAATAGTTTTCTTCCGTATCGTAAGTGGTTAGCGCTATTCCAAGATTGCGAGGAGTTCTTTGACGAACCTGCGTAGCATTTCGGGATGATCCCGTCTAAACACCGAAGTGTAGGGAAGAACAGAGAACGCTTACAGACAACTCTACCTGATTCACAGGTACATTGTCTCCTCGTTCCTCTTCGTTGTGATTCCTCCGATACGTGAGTAGGTTATTCTCGTTGGTGATCGCGCCTGCTTCCGTGGCAGAGTAGGGATAGGGTGATGTATTCTCGTCATTTCCAATCAACAGCTGCAACATTCCCACATATGTTATTCCGAAAACTATATTTGAATCGGCTGGCAGGAAGCTTACCGGAGTTTCTGAATCTTTTGAAGATACAGCAACAAACTCAGGCGGAGCAATCATAGGAGCATAGATCTATAGAAAAAAGTGGTAAACTTGCAAGAGCTTGTGAGTTTACTGATGCTGACCACAGAGGCATTTTCATTTAGACAGCCTTCCTCATGCTCAACTGTAGATCTTTGGGTCTCGCTCAAGTGCCCATTTGCTGTTACATTTTGCATGAGAGGTGATGTTGTGAAACCATATTCGCTGCGTTGTTGCGATAAATCTATCTGAAAAATGCGAAGTATCTATGTGCACACGTAATACTGGCAACCCAAACCTCAGCCTCATCTGTAATACTTGCAACTGTTGTTTCTGAAGGCGTAAGTGTAAGTGCCCTTGAATGTTCTGGATCAACCTAGATGTGGAACTACGTCACGTAATTATTTGAGATAGTTCAAACCCCAGATGTAAAAAAACGTGTAAGGTAAAAGTCACAGAAGTGCTACTGACCGTAATTTTATTTTCCAAGCGCTCCGAACTCAAAGTGGAGTTACGTTTGACACCTTCGGAAATTTCATTTTCTAGGCCTTCATGTGCACGTTGTCTTTTCCTCTCTGCAAATTTCCGTAAACGCAGCATACGCTCCTCATCTGTTTCCGTTGATCTTCTTTTTCTGGCTCTTTCCGCTACCTTAGCAAGGCGTTCTGCTCTTTGGCGTTCGGTTTCTCGCCATCTATTTGATCTACATCTCTCTGCATCGAGTTGAAGGAGAGCTAACTTATGCTCATCCGCACGCACATTAGAATCGCCCGATGTCTTTCCTTCAACTTTCTTCCGCTGCGTACGCTCCTAAGATAAAAGAATTCGCATTCAAAAACGCAAAGTGCACCTTCCATTCTTTATTTTCTCTCACCTTTACTGTTTCCAGTGATTTTTTAGATAAAGATTTTCTTGGCAATGGTCGTTCGTTTGATTGCTACAACATGCGGATCAGGGTTTGAAAAAGATATTAGCATAAAATTACCTCATTTAATTCGATTGATTGGCTAAGGTTCTGTCGAGAACAGCTTGGCTGCTGCTCCAGCCGTGAAGCGAGCTGCGCTTTGACCGCATCAGATGGGGAGGCGTCGTTCTTAGATTTTGTTGAAGCTTCATGCATGGCTTCAACTTCTTCGAAAGCTGCTTTTTGGCCTCTCTAATTGTAGCAGCTTCTTCGAGAGTAACATTACAACACTTATTTGTACCCAATGTAGGTTGTTTCAAGAGGCGAATGCTTTCCACATATACGGCTATTTGATGATGTTAGCTCAGAAGCGTTTAGAGCCCAAAAAAATTTCAAGATAATTGTGCTTGTATCCCAAAAAATAATCTTAAGAGTAACCGTTCTCTCGATATAGTATTCTTTAAACTCATTGAAAGCGGTAATGGCAAAAAGGTTTTATTCATATTTCGTTGATCAAAATTTTTGTTTGTATCTTTTGAAACATGCGAAGATTTTAAACAACAAAGTTTCAAAATTTCAATTTTGCAAACGGTGTCTGAATATGTAGTTCCAAAAAGTTTGTGATAGGTTACAGATTAGAGTATATATCATACATCTATGTAGAACCCACGAAATCTACCGCAGTTTTTTGAAACAATTTCCAATTAGATATCTAACTTCCTGCAAACCATGTATGCAAAAGGAGGAATTTTTGGCGTTGAAATCAAACAATCTGTGTTACAAAAAAGTCCTCTCAAATTTTCAGGTGCTTTTTCACATGACAGCAATTAGACTTAATATTTTTCGACATTCTGGTGCAAACTATTGCCTTTTTATAAAACGTTCCATTTTCTTCCAAATTGGGTGCAGAATTGCTGAATGAAATCTATGTTGCAAAATCAACGCACAAAGCATAAGCCTTTTACAAACGACCTTCAAAGCTAGATTGTATATTGCATCCCAATCGCGCTTGCTATCGTCCCGTATGTGCTAATGTTTAATTTTTTCTCAAAAAGGTTTGATTTTCACAGTGAGTTTGAGGATTTTTCATGTGAAGATGCGTTCAGCATGCTTCATTCGCTTCTTTTGCTTCATTTTTGTGGAAGGGTTTTTTCAGAGTAAAATTTGAAAATGTTCAATAAGATACGTTTGGTAATGAAGACAGAAACGGAATAGTGCATAACAGGAAAAAGAACAATGAGTAATATGATTTTGCTTGTTTGAGAGTAAATTTTGGTTCGCACGTAAAGATGCGTTTAGTGATAAAAACAATGATGATGTGGTGCACCAATTAAGAAAGAATCGAGGAGATGTAATACAGATATCAATGTTAAGTATTATCACCGACCTGAAGATGCTATCCGACGTTTGCTTATTTTCGCAAATGAAGCAAAATGTAAAGCGGTTGAAATAAATCGACCGCTAACAGCTTTGTAGGCGAAGGAATTGGGGTTGCACTTAGCTTGACGTCGTGATAAACATCACCGAAGCAGACGGAACACCGAAGATGGCTAAACGCAAATGAAGCAAAATGTAAAGCGGTTGAAATAAATCGACCGCTAACAGCTTTGTAGGCGAAGGAATTGGGGTTGCACTTAGCTTGACGTCGTGATAAACATCACCGAAGCAGACGGAACACCGAAGATGGCAAAAGCATCATACCATTGATGACGTCATAGGTTGCACTTAGGTTGAGTCGTAACGGTAAACAGTATGGAAGCGGGCGAAAGTGCAAGAATTAACTCAGAGATCTGGGCAAACATTCTTCGCCGGTTGTTGACGTCGGATGGTCCCCCCTGCGCTTTATTATAGGGTATGATGATGATAAGGTTATGCAAGTGGAAAACGCACTGTGAGCCTAATTTTATCCATAACTCTTACTAGTGGAAAGACCACTGTGAGGGCACTTTTGATCTTAATTCTCACTAGCGGAAAGACCACTGTGAGAATACTTTCCTTTTTTGGACTTCACTAGCGGAAAGACCACTGTGAATGTCATTTTTTTCCCGCTCACTAGTGGAAAGACCACTGTGAACCCTTTTTTTTCTCAATTTCTCACTAGTGGAAAGACCACTGTGTGCCTTACCAAATTCAAAATTAAGTTCTCACTAGTAGAAAAACTACTGTGAGTTCAATTTTGCTTAGGGAGAGTTTCATAATTATTTATTATGATTGCCTGAGGAAAACCGACGGGCTATCTGATAGCTCGCGGTTACTTCCAAAGGCTACACTCCCAGTCCCTTAATTTCAATGGCTAATCACTCAAGAACGAGTGACATTTAGCCGCCAGAGGTAGGCACATGCAGCGGCAGTGCCCTTTGAACCTCGTATCCCATCGACAAATGTCTGGGCCAGAGGTATGCGGCAATTGTTTGATGCTGATTAGCCACCTATGGACTCTGGCTGGATCAGCGTTCTTATGGAAGCTGAGTACGACTGGAAAGAGGTATCCGTGAGGACTCCTCGAAATGATATTCTCTAGGGAAGGTCCAACAGATGTCATGGAAAAAATTTCCTACAACTCTACTCGCACATCATAAGAGGTATGCTTTTCTAGCCCTTGTCTATGTTTTTTTTTGGTTTACTCTTCTTACGCTTGTTTGAAAAAAAATTTTTAAAAAAACCAACATAGGTCACCCATGTTTGAGTCTTTGAGAAACTGTGGAAGTCAACCACTACCTCAAATTGACATATCAGCATGACTTTAGATTGGTTCTGAAAAGAAAATCTCATGAATCACGATGACCAGCTAAATTTGCTACTTCGTAAATTCGTTTGGTTGTCTGCCAAGAGAATTGAGGCAAACATACCAAAAATGAGTCTTTATTCCAAAAAATGGTATTTTCAGAGAATACCATGAGTTTCAATAAATTCTTGAAATTGAGGTTATATGAAACTTTTATTTAGACCACTAGTTTCAACGCTTTAGTGTAGCTGATAAAGCCAATGCGATTTATGAAAAAAATTTGGTCCACTGTTTGTATTCTCATCAAAGCATTCTTCGTTTATAGCTACCTCTTTAACCTTATCAATCACAACCATCGTAGCAATTTTCACTCACGTTTCTCTTGTCAAACACCACTTTGACTTGACATAAAACTAACCCAAAAAAAAGTCAAGAAAACCTCGACTTCACTTTATTATTTCTTGTGACTTCATTCTAGTATATAGCAACGCCTTTCCAAAAATAAGCGTTGGGATGACCATGCAAACGGCACTACAAATTTGTGAAAAAAAATTTTTTTTGCCTTATCATGTGATTAGCAACTTCATCCGTTCACATCTGCGAAAATGCCTTAGAGGCACCTAAAAACCATGTCTTACTTACCTTTCACTGAAAATAGTGAAAAGGAAGTCCGGTAATATTAAGCTTCAGGAAGAAATCGATTCAGTTTGCATAGGCTCTTATTCTGATTGAAAACGACTAGTTTTCATACATTCGGCCACCGATTCAAAACTATTCTTGCTTTCCAAAATAAAAACAACGGAATGATTACATATCTGCTCACTTTGTATTTTCGTCAGCATTTAGCACAGGTGGATTTCAACCATCGCTCATCATCTACCATGCAAAAAAAATCCTAGTAGAACATTAAGAAATTATCTGAATTCAACTGAATTCAGCCGTAGTTCAAAAAAAAAATTTCCTCAACAGCCCATTTCCGAAAAAAAATGACAGCAGAAAATTCGCTTGCACTTTTGGCTCGATCAACTCGTCAAAATGATGAATGCTTTTGAGTCGATTCAGTACTTTTCTCTTCCTCTTTGCGAAACGTACAGTGCGAACGGGCTCTGACTCCCACCTAGGGAGGCTAGTACGCTCGCGACAGTTTCAGATATGCGAAAACGAGGCTAAGAAAGAAAACGCGAGTAAACGAAGGAGAAGTAGTAAAGAGTGAATAGTACAGTGACATCGAAAGTGTTCTGTTTCCTACTCGGTATTCTCAAATAGCCGTTTTATGAATATTTGTTTCTTCTGCATGTCATCATTGTTCCCAGTCAAGTGTTCACCACTGTATTTTAACCAAATTTCTGTTTGAGTTTTAGTCTACATGTTCAGAGCATGTGAGGAAAACAGAAACTATAAGCCCCATTATACTGTGTTCACCTTTGTATTATTGTTTTCTGCCGTCAGATGTTCAGAGCGTCTGAAAAGACAGGATGTTTTGAGAGCCAGTAGCAAACTTCTCATTAACTTCATTTACGCAGCGGCTACTGGCACAGAGTAAGTTTGCCGCAAGCGTCTGCACTATAACAAGAAATACTTCTCCGATGGGCGACTCGGAGAAGCCTTTCAGTCATTCAAAATTTCACCCCACGCCCTTGTGGGCAACGTTAGGGAAGTGTTCCCTCATGAGTTGCCCACACGATAGTTTCCGAAAATTTCATGTTTTGTTGCCTTTAATTTTTTCTGGCTGTAACGACGAATCTTCAAAACGTCAAAATTTTGAACGTTCGGTCACATTGGCGATTTTTTTTTTGCATTTAAAATTGTTGTATGCATATTTTCAAGTATATTTATTTCTTCAATATTCACGCCAACCCCGTCACCACATATCAAAACTTTTGAACATATCCCCGTTCGTCTTTTGAGCTATACCGCTGCTACCATGTCTTTTTATCCTCGCTATCATTGCAATACTCGTTCCTTCAGCTCGGATAAAGCCCACCCATCTACGCTGTATTGATATCACCATTATCGCTTTGATCCACCTTTCGAACAATTGCGGAAGCCTCACCTTTTGATATCCAATTTGCAAGCTTATTTTGCTCTGCTTATTCTTCAGCTCGAGACGAGCTCTTCTTTTGACAGGGCGTGCGAAAGCCGCGTTTTTTCCTATGAGCCCTTTTCCCCCTGTCCACATGCATTCGAAGAGCAATCAAGCGACTGAGCAATGATGCGATCAACAACACCTTTCCTGCCCGCAGTCAGTGACAACAAATGGTAAATGGGCAACCTTGATGACGATAATGGTAGCAGCAGCAACCTCCTGCACTCAAACGAAGCAGCGATGAAGCAAATGGTACATGGGCAGCTTTGATGACGATTACCTACTCTTGAGCCATGGTCAAGGACGAAAGCTCGGGACGAGCTTTACTATGGAATGGACATGTCCAGACGCAGACTAATTAGATGGTCCGACAGTCCCCACGCCAACTGGGCGGTGCCCCAGCAA